TACACAGTATTCAAGATGTGGGCATACCATAGTTTTATACAGGGGCAGTAAGATATTCTGTGTCTTATTTTCTATCCCTTTCTTAATAATTCCTAGCATCCTATTTGCCTTTTTGACCGCCGCTGCACACTGTGTGGAAGTTTTCAGAGAACTATCCACGATAACTCCAAGATCTCTTTCCTGATTTCTGATAGCCAAATTAGCCCCCATCATATTATATGTATAGTTGGAGTTATTTTTTTCCAACATGCATTATTTTACACTTATCCACATTAAACTTAATTTGCCATTTTGTTGCCCAATCACTCAGTTTGGTGAGATCTTTTTGAAGTACTTCACAGTCTCCTTCTGTCTTACCTAACTGTTTAAGATAGTCATCATCCACAAACTTTACCGCCTCACTGCTTACCCCTTTCTTCAGATCATTTATGAATAAGTTGAAAAGGATTGGTCCCAGGACTGACCCTTGGGGGACACCACTAGTTACCCCTTTCCATTCTGAAAATTTACCATTTATTCCTACCCTTTGTTTCCTGTCTTTTAACCAGGTCTCAGTCCATGAAAGGACCTTCCCTCTTATCCCACCTCCTCAATCCCCAACCTGTAGGCCCTGCACCTGCTTTTATTGTTTCTGGATGCTAGGCCATACTGCCCCAGCGAGAAGGATTCTGGCCATGAGGCTCCACTGTCCTAGGGAGAGGGCTGTATGTTTAGGACAGGAGCTGAATTACTGAATGTGCAGGGTTAGGGTATGATTTTAAGAGCCCTAGCGACTCAACAGCTCCCCTTGGGGGGGGGAGGGGGGCAGGTGCACTATCCCATCGCCGGTTCCAAGAGCCATTTAACCAAACGATAAACCCTGAATATAATAGAAACCCCTACAAGCCATAGGGTGCAGCAGCACCTCCATCATCCCTAGATCCAGCAGCTATACCTATTGTCCTATGCTATCCATTTTAATGCTCCCCTATTTATCTTGGTTCTGCACATTCTAAACTCAAAACTCCAGTCATCTGAAGAAGTGGGCTGTGCCCATGAAAGCTCATGATACTTTCTACCTGTTTTGTTAGTCTATAAAGTGCTACCAGACCATTTGTTGTTTTTTAAGTTTATCATTGTAGAATAGTATGCTTATTTATTTTATTTATTTATTTATTTTTACCCAGCCTTTCTATTTAAAATATTCAAGGCGGCTTACAAGAACAAAAAAAAATACAAATACATATATATATATATATAAAAATCAGTGTCAGATAGCCACTGGACTGACTGGATTCATGGCCAGAGGCCCTGGCCAACTGAAAGGCTCCCAGAAAAATCTACCACTGGTGAAAGCCGAGCCACCACAACAACCACCAGCCCTTTACCCTAGTAGCAGCTACAGGATGACAGAAGCCTCCCTCTGTAGCAGTCCCTGACACCAGAAGCTTTGGGACAGGGAAACCCTGCCCCAGCACTCCCACGCATTTCTGGCCAGATCCACTCTCTCAGAAACATCAGGTGGGGGGCAGAGGAAGCCCCAGTACCCGGATCCCTGTTGTGGCCCTGGGACACAAGGTCTCGGAGTCCCTGCTGGGGGTCCAAGTTGTGGCACTAGGACAACTTCTGTGATCTTGGGGCTATGGGTGGGGCCAGAAAGGAGCAAAACAGGTTGTGGGGAGGGTGGAAGGCCCCCACTTGCTTTGACCCAGGGCTCCAGAAAACCTTATTCTGCCTCTGTTCACTATGGGCTTATCTACACTACAGAGAAGATTTATGATCTTCTACTGTTGGATTTAGCGGGTCTAAACCCATAAATTGAAATGCAGCCCCCACTGGTGTCCTGTATTCCTTTCAGTGAGGACTAAGAGAAGCTGATGGAAGCATGTGCTCCCATCAGCCTCCCACAGTATGGATGCTATGGTAGTTCAGATTAAGTTAAGCCGTATCCAGCTATGCATTTTGCATAGTTGGGTGGCATACCTTAATCCGAACTGCCTGGTCTAGCGCAGAGCTAGGCATATATGCCCGTGTCAGGTAATGTGCATGTTAAACAGGAAGGTTTATGCTGCAGTTAATGACTGAAGTATTTACTTCCAAAGCCATTGCAGATACCACTTTTCTTCTATTTCCCTGTCAATGTCCCTGTTCCTCAGCACTCCACAGTGCCCTTAGCCTTTGTTTCCAGTTAAATTATAGTCAAGAGCTAAGAGTGGAAGAAGCCCCGGCAGTCTGACCACATGCATATTGGCCTATCATGTGATAACGTCTTGTTTTGTGCCCCAAATGGAAAAAGAGCTAAGGGTGATCCCCTGCTGTAGGATTACAGGCCCCCATTGAGACGTTAAGGGTGATCCCTTTCTGTAGGATTACAGGCCCCCATTAGATATAGGCAAGCTATGGTTTTTAATAGAGCTGGGATATTAGCATGAGTCATAGTCCCAACATATGTGACCAAACCAAATGAAATCATGAGAAAGAAGAGTTACTGAGTTAAGTAACTCAGCAGGGATCCTTCAAAGTACCAATGTTAACTTAAGGTTTGGGGTGAAGTAATAGAAATCAAACATGGTTAATTGGATACCAGGTACAGTAAATAACTGGCTATATAAGAAGTTGCTTTTGCTGGCCTCAGATAAGCTCTGATAATTGACAATTACATCACTTGTGTGCTAAAGATTATTAAAACTCCTAAAAGATTAATTGCCAATAGCTGCCTGCTAATAGTTAACCTTAAGTTAACACTGGTACTTTAAAGGATCTCTGCTGAGTTACTTAACTCAGACCAAGCTCTAACTGAGCCCCTTTTAAGTATCTTGATCAAATGTTTATAAATGTTTTGTTTATGTTAGTGTAATCCTTTGCTTATTATTTAGGCTTCTGGGGCATTTTAGATCTATAAATATAGTTCAGCCTTTGGAATTAATAAAGGAATTTATGGTCAAATTAGTGTTATTGTAATACACTGCATAAATACTAATTTCAAATTCTTTCTTTCTCTAATATCTTGGGGAAACTTGTTGAGCAAGTTTTCAGGCATTCCCCAGAGCACAGCAGCTGGTGTTGGTAATGTCAGCAAACTTTACATCCTGTTATTGCATTTTCTAGCTGAGGGATGGCATCTTAATGAGGAGAATATCCATGACTAGTGCACATTCAGTTCACCTTTTTAGTTTTATTTTTCAGCCAGTTCCCTTTCAGGAGCAGTTACTCATGTCAGGATTTTATGGGCTTCCCCCTTGCTTCCCCCCTCCCCTTCTCCCATGCATTTGAACAAATCATTCTTTGCCAGCCACTGGCTGCTGCAAGGCAGGTAGCCTTCTGCAAATAATGCAGAATTTGCAGTTATGCAGAGAAGGAATTAGAAGGCTCAAAGAACACTCTTCTGGTCTCAGCAGGTCATTCACCTATTTCTCGCCACATTTGTCACTTGACGGCATAATCACAGTCTCTTGACTAAGTTCAGTTTCAGTGAAACAAATGCCCAAACCAGCCATACCTATAGGCATGCTAATAGGTGTTCAGGATATAGATAGATGATAGCTACACCCTTAAGGAGTGCTGGATAGTTGCATGTTGTGGGTAGCAGATAATCTAATTCTTAAGCTTTACGTTGTGATTTAGATTTTATGAATGTGAATTAATTTTAAGTTTATTGAGCTCTGATACATTCACTTTTGCCCTCCTGATATAAAAATTGGATAGGTTCTGGTCACCTGCTGAAAACAATAAAGAAAATTTCTAGGAAATAATGCATGGCAGTTGAAGAACATCATGGACAGCCAGATTGGGTTTCAGCATCTATCAGCTGGCATGCTGCTGTTGTAAAGCAGGCTTTTTCTGTCCACAGCCTTCGCGTATAGCCCATCCTGCCACACAAGGCCCCTCACACAAAACCCCAGATACTCAGAGGAGCATAGGAAGCACAATGCAAGTTCTGTGAACGGAATTTGACCTTACAGGCATCCTAAAACTCAAAAGCACCAAAAAAAACAGGGAGGTGAGCATGACTAGATAGCGCCTAGCTGCATTTACAGATAAGCCTCATTTGACCGTAGCTTGACCGGCCTTAGAAGCAAGAGAAAAAGAAAACATAAGGTAATAAAACACAACTGTCTCACACTAACTATGCCCCATCTGGTCCTGTCCACGAGAGGATCACGCATACATCACAAAAATTCCTATAGGGCAGTATTGTCATACTACCTCATCACTAGCCTATCAGGCCCTGCCAAATGCAGACCCTAGCATGGCACAGACACCGAAGTTTTGTTTAAAAGACCCTCAATCCCTTTGTTCGACGGAGGTTCCGTGTATTGAGGGCACGTGTCTTTTTTTTTTTTGCCCGGCTAAAGGATTGATCACCCTGAGGCTGCCTCCCCACCCTTCGAATCAAATATAGGGGTGCACGAGTCCTGAGCATGCTCCGAGTTCTAGTGTGTCTTTATGTTGTTATCGTTGCAGGATTTGTAAGTATTGCTTAAATTTATTAATTGGTAGTTTAGTTAATAGTTAAGCTGTATTAATTATATCCTATAATCCTGTGAAGTATAAGTAAGTCATATTAAGTGTATTGTATAGATAGTGTGATTTTGTGCTATGTGAAAGGGTTAAGTTTTAGCCCAGGTATAAGTGTTAGAAGAAAAACCCAGGAGTTGTCAACTTGTAACAGTAAAAAAAATCAATGACTAACTCCACCAGCTGTCCTAAAGTGACATTGGAGGGATTAGCTATAGGTAGTTCTTTTATTATCATTATTTTAGCTTTGTTTTTTGTAGTTTTCATTTGTATGCTGCGTTGTCTTAGGCGAATTAGGGACAGTGATTTGATATAAGTGAATTGTAATCAAAGAATTGTAATCAGTTGGGTATAATTGTGCCCAAGCTTTTCTATGCTGTAAAAGTACTAAGCAATTGCTAGTTTAAACACCTACTTGTTAATTACTGGTTTTGACCACTTAATAAATATCATTTGTTTCACCATCATCCAGTAGTTTTCACTGGGTAGTCGGCTTTAACCCTTGAGGCTCCCATCACATCACAGAACCAAAGTAAGACAGCTGCAAGATTGCACACTTTGAAAATAAGGGCATATAGTACAGGGACAATGAATACAATGTTAAACAGTATAGACCACAAATGATGTAGAAATAAAAGTTAAAATGGGGCAGGAACCAGATTATTTCATGACATCTTGAAATCTTGAACAAAACACAAAATTCTGGTGAAAAAATCATTTTGGCTTGAGCAAAATGTTTCATTTTGATAAAATCAAAACATTTTGCCCAATTTTGATTTTTAAGATGAAATACAATTACTTTCTAAATATAAAACATTGAAATGTTCCATTCCAAAAAGGTGAAATTGGAGAGTTATCATTATATATATATATAGTATCATGCGCTTTCATGGGCAAAACCCACTTCCTCAGATGACTGAGTTGTCAATTACACATGTGTAGCATTTATCTATAGTGTTTTTCAACCATTTAAAAATTACTTAAAAAAATTGCACCAAGACAAATCAACTATATCATCATTCTTGATGAGACAAAACAAAGTCCCCACTATCTACAATGCAGGGGGGGCAGGAACCTCAGGCCTAGGGACAGAATCCTGGATCCGCATGCCTGGATCCAGCCCCCAAGAATCCCCCCATTTCAGCACTGGGAAGACTGCGCTGGTGCGTCAGCCCCCTCCACTGTGGGGCTAGAGCTCTCAAAATCTATTACGCTGGGCCCCCCCAAGACTCTAGTCTGTGAAGGGAACATGGGGAGTGTCTTTCTCCTTCTCAGTCAGGGTGCCACATTGAGGGGTTTGTTTTGTTGTATTTTGCTTCTTCTGTGTGGTCCCCAACTGATTTTTCTGTATGTCAGTGTCCACGACCCAAAAAAGCTTTCCCACACCTGATCTACAGTATTCACCGCTTAAGAACAATAACTGAAGAACTTGCTCTACCTCTAAGGACCCTACTATAATTGAGAGGCTATACAGGAAATCTTAAGAACCTCTGATTCCACTACTGGTATTCATGGTCCATGCATGAAGTTCTAACACTACCACAAAAGGAGCAGATGAAACTATTTTCTAACATTGCTCATCCAGTAACAACCATATTTTTTAAAAAAGACAGCTCTCATTCTATGGTGGGAGTGTGTGTGGCTGCAGGTGACTCCCACTTTGCTTTGCGGGTATGAATTTTCAGACTTTTTTTTTTTTGCCCTGCAACTGACAGCAGAAGCTAAATCTATATATTTCCCTCCCACTTTATGATCACATCTCAAACACAGAGAAGCCGTGGAAGGGTGATTAGGTGCAGCCAATGTCAGAAGACGGGTCAGGGTGGTGATGAAGGGACTTCTCTCCACTCAGCTGCTTTGGCTTCTCCTTTCTTTTCACTCCACCAGAAGTAAGTACCTGCTTTAGTTCACACATACAACAGAGACAACTGACCTGAAGGGTTATAATTTGGGGTCTGGTAGAGATGGGTTTTAGTGGGCACTTTTTCTTCTAGTTGCCAATTATGTAAATTAAGAAATGGTTTCTCTCAGAAAAAAATTAAACTAAATTTGTCTGTCTCCTATAGGTGAATGCTAGAGAGAAAGTTTAGCTATTTAGATATTATCTGTTATCACTTGCAGATATTGTGCAAAATATTTCATTCCTGGAGCACTGTGAGCCCAGAGCTGTTTCCTTAGCACACCAAATGACTCCAGAACTAATGCTGTCACTTGACTGGTAATCAGAGCTAGATTCTCTCCTCAGTACAAGACCAAGGAATAAGGAAGGCCTAAGGACTGCTCTAACTTATACAACCTGGAAAATGATAGGCTATGTCTAGACTACAGGGTTTTTTTTGAAAAAAGTGGCCTTTTTCAAAAAAAAAAAAAAAGTCATTTGCGTCTAGACTGCTGCTGTCTTCTTTCAAAATTACATCGAAAGAACGTGGCAGTTTTTTTGACAGTGGTAAACCTCATTTTACGAGGAAGAATGCCTTTTTTCAAAAGAGCTCTTGAACGCAAGCAGGGCTTTTTCGAAGAGCATACAGATTTCCTGGGTGCTCTCTTTAGAAAAGGCGGATCGCTTTTTCGAAAAAAGTGGTGGCTGTCTAGACCATCTCTTTTGAAAGAAGCTTTTTCAAAAGATTATTTCGAAAAAGCTTCTTTCGAAAGAAGCATGTAGTCTAGACGTACCCGTAGTGCATAGCTGTGCTCTGGTAGGTCCCCTCCTATCTCCGACATGCTCCCCACACCAGGCTGGCAGAGTTCATGTAAGAACCAGATTCTGAGCTGGGCAGCTAGCATCAGATTGTGGCCACTCTAAACCTGTGAGCAGCACAGGGGGGGGGGGAAACAAGAGTCTGGTCATACAGGAATTAGACAGTTGGCAAGTTTTTTTCACTCTAGTCCGCTCGCCAATTACCATATTCCTTCTGTATGCCCCTCCCTGACCTTCACCAAATCATCCTATAGGAAACTCCCTAATCTCTTAGCATGAGTAAAACGTCTGTGTTTTCATTCTGAATATCTGGTCACCCTACTCTCTGGATTCTGATGGGGGATGTAAAAGGGAAGTAGTGGGCATGAAGAAGGAGCTGGACTCCTCTGGCTGGGTACAGGAGATATGGGCAATTTGAGGGGATGGGTTATGCCAGGTACTAAGGAGAAGGTGGTGAGGGAAATGAGTAGCAGGGGTATCATTTGCAATAAAGACAGTTGTCCACCCTTAACTTTTCCTAGATGCCCCATGTCTTTTACTCCTCCCACCCAGACTTTGCACGATATATCCTCATGTATAATGTTCTATGTGCGGACATAACCCCCCCCCAGTGATATAGGGGAGGTTTGCTGGTGCCAAATAAGTGTTTTCAGTGATTTGGGGAAAGGAAGAGGCTGGGGTCTGGAGGAATTGGATCTAGTGAAGGGGTCTCTGAGGGCTACCGGAAACTTTGCTGAGTATCTCTCAGCTGTGGCTATGCTCAATGTGCAACAGCCCAACTGGATGGTATAAAAGGTGAGGAGTGAGATTTGGGAAGAGAACACCTTTCACTGCCAGATTATAGTGAGGGATCTCTACTTGACTGGGAGAGGAGATTAAGCCCCTCTGGAGCTGATGCATGATCTGGACAGAGTCAGGTGGGATAACTGAAAACAATAAGCATGCAGTCTCTCTTGTTCTGTGTCTGTCTGAAGGTGCTGATGAGCTGAGGCTGGTGGATGGAGGCAGCCCCTGTGCTGGAAGAGTGGAGGTTAAACACCAGGACCAGTGGGGAATGGTGTGTGATAATGATGAAACAGAGCGGCAGTATCATTCAGTAATTTGTAGACAGCTAGGGTGTGGCTCTGCTGTTGCAACATCTGAGGCTTTAATTTTTGGAAAATATTCTGGACTGACATGGCTCTCAGAAGTTGTTTGTCATGGTAATGAGTCAGCGCTCTGGGACTGCAAACACAGAGGATGGGAATTGAAATTTTGCCCTTATGCTGCTGGAGTACTCTGTTCAGGTAAGAAATCAACTACCCCATTTCCTCTAGGCAAAATGAGGTGAATCACATTTGTGACCAGAGTGAGAAATGACTACAATCTGTACTAACTCCCGTAACTGTTATTTATAAGCCTGGATAATGAGACAGTCCCGGTGTGAATGCTGCCATCAGAGATTTGTAATGGTTCTAAAACATGCAAAATTCAAATCGTTGCATGAAGGAGCTTATCATAAGGGAGACTGTGAGGTAGGCTCCTCTCCAGCCAAATGGTGGTTCATTCCTTTCTGCATTTGTAATTGTCACTACAGTTTTCTCTGAACTGTTGTGGGTGGGCTTCAGGGATAGATAGCACAGCTACTCTTACTGCCACCTGCTGGAGAAACAGCTTCACTCAATGTGTTGTTTCCAAAGCAATGGCACACAGAGCTATCTGATTTGATGTCATTTTGCATTGTCTTGGAGGGTGGATTTTGGACAGCCTAGGTGGAGATGGGTGAACAGCAAGCTGCAGCCAGCTCAAGGGACTGAATGGAACTAAAAAGAGTGAGGAGGTTGGGATGAAAAGATGCAGACCAGGCTGAGGACTGAACTGGTGTTCTTGGATCTAATTGCTGAAGTTTCCTGGAGCATTCAAACCCTGCTGAGGAGCAGATGCTGGCAAGCATTAAACATTTGCATCCCCTGGTGGCACTGATCCAGAGCTCTTATTGCAGCTTCAAGACTTCCTCTACTTATGGCTGATTTAGCCTGTGAATTAGCACCTCTGTTTCTTTAGCTGATACACTCCAAAGAAACTGATCTCTAGGGCAGCAGGAGACCCCCCCTAAAGATTCTCAGCATCCTGCTTCTGCCCCCAAAACAAATGGACTCCAGTGAATGTCAGATCTTCAACTATGGCCCCAGTTATTCCACAGTGAGTAGAGACATGTGCAGTCCAGGGGTGGGCAATAATTTGAATGGGGGTGGTGCACTCCACGATTTTGGTAAGTGATCAAGGGCTGCACTTCTGTGGATGGGGTGCAGGGTCTGGGACAGTGGGTGGGGTGTAGAAGGGAGCTTGGGATAGAGAACTGGGGTGCAGGAGGGAGTGTGGGGTCTGAGAGGGAGTTTGGGTGAAGGAAGGGGTTATAGTCTGAGGCAAGGGTTTAGGGTCCTGGGTGCGGGAGAGGATTCTGGCCTGGGGAGGGATGTAGGAGGAGGTGCAAAGTCTGGGCAGGAGCTGTGACCTGGAGGAGGTGGGGAGAGGGGATACAGAGGGTTTGGGTGGTGGCCTGGGGCAAGCAGTTGTGGGGAGAGAGGGGGTGAAGTGCCAGAGGCAGGCTCTGGCTGGGAGGAGCTTACCTACGTGGCTCTGAGCCAGCAGCACTGCCGCCTCCATTCCTGTGGGCTGTTCCATGTGGCTCTGCTCCAATACAGCGAGGGAGGGAAATAAGGGGATAGGGGGAGGAGGAGTGAGGTGGCCCTGCCGTCAGCAAAATTTCTCATCTCCTATTGGTCAGCAACTGTTCAATGGAGCTTGGTGATTTTGCTAGGGGGTGGGGACAGCACACAAAGCTTTCTCCTCCCTCTCCAGCTTGCAGAGCAATTAGCAGCCTGCTATTCAAAGGGGTGCTCCTTCTTTGCAGTAAGAGTGCTGGTGAGGCAGCCGCTTGCTGGATCTGGCAGCGTGGCGGGCCGCAGCCAGTCCACTAGCTGCCACTTGCCCACCCCTAGTGCAGACAGTATTTGTGTCCCTGTGAAACCCGTATCTGTGAAGTACGAACAATGTTTTCAAACATAGTATCTAAAGTGAATATACTAAATCCATATTAGCATATCTCACTAAGAGCATTTATTTGGGTAGCTAAATATAAATGTGTAAGTCTAATTTTAGGCACGTATATCTGAAAATCCTGATCTGTATGTTTCAAGCATAACCTGTCTTTAAAAATGTTTGTGCAATAAAGTGTGTAAAATCAGAGTGAAGAAAACAGTAAGAAAATAGTAATTAACAAACAGTAGGGAGCTGTGCCTCCTGTTCGTTATGCTCGCCAACCTCCCTCTTGCGGGGCGTAGGGTCCCTTCTCCCTCCCCCCCACCTACCAGACCAGGCCTCTTCTCTCCCCCCATAACTTGAATCCCCTTTTCCCCTTTCCTGGCACGTCCATGCCAGGCCTGGCTCTAACCCTGGTGGCCATGGAGGTGCGGGGGTGCCTGCCCCCCTGGCGTGGGGCACAGTGAGGAGTAGATAGTGCCATGTGCCTGTGGCATTCCAGGGCACTGCAGCCTGCTGAGGTGGGGAAAGCAGCAGTGGGGGGGTGGGCACTGTCCTGACCTCTCCCCTGTGCAGTCCCGCCTGCGCTGTTCACTGACTCGGCCCTGCCCAGAGAGCCCAGGCCACCCACCAGCAGGGAAGGAGCAGACAGGTCGGTGCAGCAGCTTCTCCAGGTGGCTCAAGGGTGCTCTGGCAGTGAGTCTCCATGGGGGCAGCTGGACTCCAAGCTGTCAGGCACCACGCTCCAGCTCCCCAAGAGCATGGCAGTGGGGGAACTCCCAAGAGCCTGCTGCTGGCACATAATCCCCGCTGGGAGCCCCACTCCTAGCACTTGTCCCTGGGCTGCTGTCCCGAGCACTGCACTCTTCTCCCCTCCCCCCCCCCCCCCCACCCCCGGCTTCTGTGCCATGTTTCTGTGCCATGGAGTGGTGGAAAGGAAGTGGGGGCTTGGTTTAAAATAGCCATTCCAAGTAGCAAGGGGAAGCAGCAAGGTCAGGCTCGACAGGGGGAGGGGGGAGGGAGGCAGGCAGGACATACAGTGAGGTGATGACATCATCCTGTCTTCCTTCAGGAAAAGCTTTTTTTTATATATAGAGCAAGATAAAGTATTCGTTTAAAACCTCTGATAACAATTTTGTTTTTAAATTATGGTGTCTAATTGTACATTTTAACCCTACTAGATGCTACATCACTGAAGCATACTCATTACCATATCTTATAGTTTCTAAATACTTTCACTAGAGAAATATTACTTTTAAATATTTGCAGATCAAGGTATAAAAAGATGCTGCAGCGTGTCAGTGTCTCAATCCCTGGCTTTATTGATTCTCTAGGCCATATTAAGTCCCAGCTGGTTGGAGGGGACAGTGTCTGTTCAGGACGTGTTGAGATAGAACATGGAGAAATATGGGTTTCAGTCTGTGATGCTGACTTCGATCTCAAAGCTGCCAGTGTGATCTGTAGCGAATTAAACTGTGGAGCAGTGGTATCCATCCTGGGAGGAGCTGATTTTAAAGAACAAGATGTGCCAATCTGGAATGAAACCTTTGTGTGTGCTGGGAATGAACCACAACTCTTCTATTGCCCCAGGATATCACATTTGAATGAGACATGTTCACATGCAAACGATGTCAGCATTGTGTGCTCAGGTAAGAATTAAAGCAATGATTACAATATCAGAGATAATTATTCTAGACTCCTGATGTAAAAAACAAAATATCTTTACCACAGGAAGTCTTAGATCACGGCTGTGGTATACAATTCTTTCAAACAAAAATTACCCAAATGTTTTTCATGGCAATAAAACAATCAATCCCCTTCTTACCTCGCTTCCATTTTATTCAAATATTTGTTATTCAAAGTTATCAAAAGCTTTCTGTGTCCAATTAAGCAAGAAGTAGTGATTCTCTGGAAATTCTGTAATTTACTTTTCATCCATAATGCACTCTCTCTCTCACCCTGTAAATATAAAAATTAAGGCTGTCAATTTTAATGGCAGTTAGCTTTCAGTTGTAATCACAGTATTAATTACACTATTAAACAGTAATAAAATATCATTTATTTAAATAGTTTGGGTATTTTTCCATATTTTCAAATATATTGATTTCAACTGAAACACAATAAAAAATGTACAGTGCTCGTTTTCTATTTATTACAAATTTTCACACACTAAAAATGTTAAGCAAAAGAAATAGTATTTTTCACTTCACCTCAAGCATGTATGGTAGCACAATCTCTTTGTTATAAAAGTACAAACTTTTATATATATAGTTACATAACTGCATTCAAAAACAAAACAATGGAAAATTTGAGCGCCTACTCAGTCCTACTTCTAGTTCAGCCAGTTGCAAAGACAAACAAGTTTGTTTATGTTTACAGGAGATAATGCTGCCTGCTCTTATTTACAATGTTACCTGAAAGTGAGAAAAGGCATTTGCATGGCATTTTGCAGCTGGCACGGCAAGGTATTTATGTGCCAGATATGCTAAACATTCATGTCCCTCTTCATGCTTCAGCCATCATTCTGGAAGGCACACTTCCATGCTAGTAACACTCATTTTTTTAAAAAAGTATTAATTACACTAATTGGGGAGAATTTTATGTCTCCTGCTCTCTAATTTCCCCTCATTCTGCCATGTATTTCATGTTATAGCAGTCTCAGATGGTGACCCAGCACAGATTTAATTTAAGAACACTTTCTCTGGAGGTTTGACAAACTGCAAAGACAGTACCTGTGATGGATTTGGTCACTTGGCTGTACTGATATATCAGTGAGCCTATCTTCCTGTCTTCAGGGGTGCCCCTTAACTCTGTCCTGCTGAGCCAGGCCCTCAGGTCTCCTCCAGCACAGACACAGAGGCTACGTCTATACTGCTTCCTTCTTGCGCAAAAGTCTATGCAAATGAAGTGTGGATTAGCATATTGCCATACTTAATTTACATAATTAATTAGGGGCTGTTTTTGAGCAAGAGACTTTTGTGCAAAAAGGAGTTGTGTAGACGGCTCCCTTTTGCGCAAAAAAAACCCTCTTGTGCAAGAGCCGTTCCTCCTGAAAAAATTAGGAAAAACGGCTCTTGCCTAAGATGGGGGTTTTGCATAAAAAGGAGCCGTCTACACAGCTCCTTTTTATGCAAAAGCCTCTTGCGCCAAAACAGCCCCTAATTAATTATGCAAATGACGCATGGCAATTAGGGTTGCCCGGTGTTTGGTTTTCGCCTGGACTGTCCGTTATTTGGGTCTCCCGTCCAGTAAAAAAAACAGAAAATACAGGACATGTGAAATGTCTGGTATTTCCTGTTTCCGTCGGACGGAAGCCCAGCAGGAAAAATTTTCCCCTGCTGCGTCTGGCGGAGGGCGAGGGAGTGAGGAGCGCAGAGCCATATAAAGGCACAGAGCCCTTTTTTTTTCCTCAACAGAAGTTATTCCCGGTGTTTTTTTTCTTTGGGGTGGGGGGAAGGGATTTGGTATTTTTGGTTAAACCATCTGGCAATCCTGGTGGCAATATGCTAAAACATGCTTCATTTTCATAGGCATTTGCGCAAGAAGGAAGTAGTATAGACGTAAAGAGGTAGGGACACAGCCCTTTGTCATATAGACACTGAGATCTGCTTTGGGAAGCCTCACCTAAGGGGATTTGCCTCAGCACCCAAATGCACAGCCTCAGATAAATCCATCTTATCCTGTATAAAACTTTATATAGAATAAGCTCATTTTGTTCTCTCTCTTTCTCAAAGTAAAGAGAGCTATGCACAGGCTTCTTGCCCTTGCCCCCAATAACTATTATTTACACCGGGTTTATTAATAAACAAAAGTGATTTTATTAAGTGTAAAAGGTGGGATTTAAGTTGTTGTAAGAGATAGCAGACAGAATAAAGCAAATTACTAAGCAAAATAAAACAAAGCATGCAAACTAAATTAGATTAACTAAAAACTGGTTACAAATAACATGTTCTTCCTATAAAGTTCAAATAATCTTTGCACAGACTGGATGCCTTTCCAGTCTGGGTCCAGTCATTTCTCTTGTTCAGTCTTATGTGTTTCCAGCAGCCATCTTTGATGGGTAACCTGGCAGAACTGACTTCCAGAATTACCCCACTCCCCCCACCCTTAAGTAGGATTTGCACATGGTAGGAGACCATTGTTTCAGTTTGACCAGTTCCTCATGGAAAAGTGCAAGGTCTAAAATGCATTCCAGTATCAGGTGACATGGTCAGATGTCTCTGCAAGATCCATGTCGCCATATTTCATAGGCTTTCCAAGTCCACAGAGAGGTTAAGCTTCATTGTCTCTTTGCTGATGGGTGTATATAGACCTGACGTGTAAACAGTGGGCATGACCCAAACAGTGAATGTGTACTTACATAAACATTTTAACTTAATCTACAAAAATGATGTGTGCATACAAATAGGAACATCATATTCCATAGACTGTAACTTTTCTAATGATATCTCATGTGTTATTTCACAGTCATGAAGCTAGTTATGTCATGTTCATGTTCATAAACATATTTTCGTAAAGAATATGGAATACCCAGTCATGGTACCAATATTAGGTTTGTAAAGATAGCTACAGCTCTCAACCCAAGGTTTAAGAATCTCAAGTGCCTTCCAAAACCTGAGAGAGACTAACTGTGGTGCATGCTTCCAGAAGTCTTAAAAGTGAAACACTCTTATGCAAAAATTATAGACCCTGAATCACCAAAAAGGAAAATCAACCTTCTGCTGGTGGCATCTGACTCATGTAACCCCCAAGCAGATTACTTAGATTCCCGGGGCCTTGTCTGCTGGCAGCTCAGGGAGAGGCACTCTGAGTTTGCCTTGGCTCCCCGTCCCTACCAGGGCCAGAGTCTGCCGGGCAACCCATTGGGAGTGAGATGCCCCTCCCAGGGGGAAGGAGAGGCCATTGTTTAGGGGAGTCTGGAGCCAGCAGGGCAAGGGGAGGACTGGCTGTGTGGGAGCTAGTAAGCCCCAGGCCTGCATGCAGGTTCCCCCTGAGA